ATCCAGGGAGAGTTGGGGGAGTAGTTTTTCACCATTTGAGCAGTTTTCACTTGATTTTAGGCAAAAATTATCAAATGTGAACTTCCCTTGGAATTTTTCAGAAAGTGAACCACCCTTGGTAAAAGCTGGATATGGGCCTGTAGCCTACACCCAAATTATATTAAGTGCATATAAGTAGCTAACATTTATTTCAAATTTTCATATAAACTCTAATAAAAGGTCATGAACATTTGATATTATTTAGACTCTAGCATCAACACTGGTAAATAATTTAAAATATAAGGAGGTTCTAAATGGCTAGATGATTGTGGTTAAGTTATATGATGGTCAGTTCTGTAAAGCTGTTTTTTTGGCACAGCTATATATTATGCGGTGCTATCTGTGCTATCTGATAAAACGCAATTTACCTTAACAGACCATTTTGAGGAAACTATCAAATTAACGTTACATATGTGGTAAAACTTTCATCAGGAGTAAATGGTTAGTTCAATCTATCCATGTACTTTTTGTCACGTGTCATGTTGGACTTGTGCGACAGTAGGCCAAGTATACCTAATTAATATAGCAGTCTTATTTCCAGAACATGTGACCCCCTTCCCACATACCTCATATTCATATCAAAGAGGTAAGTAGATAGACAGAGGGTCCAGAGACTTCGGGGAAGGTCTCACCAGGCATGATTTTTGATTTTTCTCAATTTAATAAAACTGTGTTTTCTCATTATACAAGTAGATGTAGAAATCAGGTTAGTACCGTCACATCCTTGGTCCAATTCCAAGTGTATTTCACTTTCTTCTGAACTGAAATAGCAATGAAGCCTTCTGATGAAGGATATGTATGTCAGTGCTAAGTCAAAACCTACACATGATTTCCTAGAAATTATCACTGCTATTAAACAGCTTCAGATCAAACTGACCTCATATTTCAAAATGAGCTTATAACATATTATGATACAGTACCACAAATTAATGATATTATAACACCTATTAATCGCATCTTGAACACAAAGAAAAGCTTGCTCAAGGATCTTCATAGAAATGTCTGCCATGATAGCCATCATATAATGAAGATTGATATGAAAAGGGGATTAGCCTCGGCATTAACAGTCATTTTTCTGAGATGTTGTAAATGCGCCTAGAAAAGGCAAAAGCTTTCAGATTAATGCTCTTGTTATTGGATTAATGAATCCATTATGGTGGTTTATGATTAGAAATTTATTACAATTCACTTGGCCTAATGCATTTTGTTAGATGAAATAACTTACGTATGAGTTTCCAAAAAGTTTATAAAGTTTGCAACTGTTATATGAAAAAAAATTGTTCTAATGATAAATTATATTCAAAACTTAAAAAACCTTCCCCCAAAGAAAAGACAAAACAATATGTTTAAAAGAAATAAATCGTGTCAATGAGAAAAATTAATTAGCAGATCAAGTACTAGATGTTTGTTTTTCACTGGTTTTGCAGATACTAATAAAGACAATGCCTTCATGCAGCCTTCATCATCCGACAGTGAGAATCAATTTCCTTGTCAATATCCCCCTCCCTTGTTTAATTTCCTATGGGAGTTAGGGTTATCAATCAACTATTATATGTATATATCTATATTAATTACTGAACTTAACTCCTTACACTTCTTCCCATTTCTAACAAGACATAGTTCATGTACAGTTCATGCACAGTTCATTAGTTCATTGATGGTTCAATATAGAGATATCAAAATAAAAAGTAATTACCGAAACATCAATCAAGATACAAAAATAAGAGAAGAACATGAAGAGATCAAAGCTATATTGAAACCTGTCATCATGGTATGCTACAAAACAATGGAGTTAACATGTTCTGGTATTATCTATTCTATTATCTATTCTAGTTATCTAGTCACATTTGTTTCTCTTATTTGCCATTTTCCTAATCAATTCAGTTTGCACGCTACTTCAAGAAGGACAATGTATTATCTTTCACAGTTGTTTCCTTATTTAGCTTTGAACATGTACATTATAAGTAAGATTATCCTGCTGGATAATATTTTTTCATAAAACTTTCATTGATCTGTGAACTTATGGGAATATTTATCCACAATGTATTTTTTAAACCAAGAAACTCATCAATATCTGAATATTTTTAGTCATAAAATCTAATTTTATTTTCGTAATTTTTCTCATTTTCAAATGAGGCAACTGATAATGTTACATATAACATTACAGAAAAGTGAACCACACCACGGCAACGGACAGCAAAACTATTAAACGTGATAGATTACCATTTTTTGGACTGTAAATATGTTGATATCTTAAACATATTGTACAAACAGTTAGTGCAAGCAGTCAATACTTGGTAAAACTGAAGACATAAATTATTCCTACAGTACACCACTGTCAGTTGGTCTTCCCCTTTTAGTACAAATTTCAAGAAAGGATCCTGTTACAAATACCTCTACAGAATGGCAGATTTATGTGTGTCAATTTTTACAGTGAACAAGTACTAGTACATGTAGTTGCCGGACATCATGCCATATGAGCGACGACCTTAGTCTGTAAATGAAACTACTTGACCTCATTTCAGACTGTTTCTAGCACTGACTTGCTAAATGCATATCAGACTTGGCACAAATCAAAACTTGTAAAAAGTGATTTCTTTGAAACCTAAGATTATCCTTAGTTGGTTAATGAAGCCTTTCTTAATTGACTATATTTTAATATTGTGTTTGATACAGGTATGTAGCACACTGTCATAAAAAACCTTTTTTACTAGATTTCTTAGGATATTATATTGACACAATTAATACAGTGTATTCAGGTACTACATGTATTGTATTATACTGTATAATTTAATATGTCAATCTTTTTTAGAAATAGTTTTTCTCACAATGTATTTTTGTGTACTTTTAAAAACTAAGTTGAATAAATAGGCACCCTTAACATGTTGACATCCTAGGTAAAACTGGGATTACCTGAATATAAAAAAGTTGAGAGTCTGCATTCAGCAATGATATAGCAGTCCAAAATTAAGAAAAGCCTCAAGGTCGCCTTATGGCACACATCTTTTTTCTATAAGCCGAAGAGTAACTGAAAAATTATAGCAATAAGACACACCTTGACCATACATGCAGTCACAGTACCGTCCCTGTGAGGCTGCCTTGGTATTTCTAGAATACTTATGGCTATCACAAAGATGCCCCAATGTGACTGTGCATCATCACTTCAAATGCCATCAAGTATGTGACCTTGGAAAAACTAGACTGTGCCCTATAATTAAAATCGCAAATGTGACTCTCATGAGGCATTAATAGATAGATTTGAAGGTCAAATCTTAACTCAGATTTGAACTTCTGAAAAAAATTGAAAAAAAAAAATTGAAGTCAGTATAAACAGTATTTGGTAGTTTTTGGAAGTTGTAAGAGTTTGTAACAGACACCGATGGTTGCCAACCACCACCCAATGTCACAAATAAACCATAACAATATGTCACCGCATTTTGGTGGTGACATAAAAATTGAGTGTCTTAACCTTTTCCATTTCCACAGCACAGAGTGAGGGCAGTATTTGCCTAAGGTCTTTTGAATTCCAGAATCTTGAATTTTGATGATATTCTGTGTGACAAATTTTTCTGAAATAATGAGGAAAAATCAGTTCTTCCTCAGTCTCAATAATCTTCCTTATGGTAATCATTAGCAGAAAAGGAATTCTCATGAAAACCCAGTCATTTATGATATATCAAATGAAAGTTTCAAAAAATTTAAAAATAATTTTTTTACAGACACCACTTCTGGCAGGTATATCTATTGATAATACAAGGGTTAATCATTTTTGTTTGAATTAATAAATATATTTGTTTGAATTAAATGTACCAGTATATTTTTTCTCAAAAGTTAACAATATCTTGTTCCCAGGTATAAACACTAGTCCTACATAACAACCTCACATGTCCTGTACACATCATATTGGAATCACATGTCTAAATTGCACGAATATTTATTGAACAACTGTAGCTATTTATCAGTATTTGTCCTTGGCTTATAGTAAGACTGATGAACCCTTTTCAAATTAAGATTCTACTAACTACTTGTATTGTTAATTGTCAGTTTGTTTATGCTACATAAAAGGATTCTCTTCTTGGATTAATGAAGTAGATAAAATGAATCAGTTGCTTTGGATACGAGTCAGTTACCTTGGATCGGGACAACCTGTCACTAATCCTTGGAGAAAATCACAATGTGTCAAATATTGACAAATATCCAAACAAAACAGATATGACTAATAAGGTGGTTGAACTGTTAAAGTAACCAATATGAAACAATCATAACAAATCCTAGAAGATCTCCTGTTTTCTAAATAGGAAAAACATATTTCAAAATTGTTCTAAAAATTATCTACTGACTGTCCTTGTATAAGGTTTTGTTTTTACATGTTGTTTGATTCATTCAGTGAATATCCTTTATTTTAACTCCTGTAAGACGGTGGAGTATAGGTGAGTCAATTGAGGTTAAAGTCTGACCAGACAATGACCAGGGTCTAACTAGTGTCTGGATACCCTTTGGTCAAGACATTGGAAGTAAGTTCTCTTTTAATGAAGAGAAATGAAACAAATGAAAAGGGAAGCATAAGCGAAGTTTAAAACAAAACACAACCCTTTAGGATGTCTAGACTGATTTAAAAACTATTAAATATCTACATGTAATTTCTATTGGTGTAGATCAAAAATGAAATCCTTTAGAAATTAATTATCACATTAGGTTTCTGATTTTAAATTTTCAAGATATCCCTTAATAACTAAGTAAATAACCTAAAACACCTGGTTTTAGTATGGTTCCTTTGTCAAAATACATGAAAGTAATAAGCTATCTAGCATTCTTTTATTGTACAATAGATATGCAAATGCCTACACAGTATAATGTATTTGCCCTCCAAATAAAAATCATTAATAAAAATCTAGTTTCTAAGTTGTTCACTTTTTATCTTCTTGATAAAAAAAACTAGGACAGTTGTGTTGAAAACTTACCGTAGGCACATGTTTTTTTCCTTATGGTCCTTAGCCAAATTCTCATGATTTCTTTTCCTTAATCCTGACACAAGTTTCTTAAGCCAAAATAATGTTGTTGTATTTTCTGGTAATTGACAAGTCCTTGCTATCTGATTTTCAATCATTGATGCATATAGTTATTAATCCGTTAAGTAAAAATATGATTGTTTATCAGTATGAATTCTTCCTTCATATATTCTACATACTTAATACTGTTCATCTATTATTAATCAAATCATTCACTTTCCAACTATAATTCCAGACCTCTAACTTAGACTTCTAACTGTAATGTGTTTATTTTGCACACTGCTAGCTAGGACTCTTAATTTAGATCAATATGTAGAACTTTAATATAGATGGCATTTAATCTACTAAACTGCGGCTTCCTAGGTTATCTATTTAGTATTTACTGGATGGCTGTATCCTTCAACTTGCGCTGATCTATGTTTAGCTTAGTCAAGAAGTAGGCCAATGAATGATAACCCAGTAGCTAGTGCCTTCGCAATCTGTTAATAAATACTCAACATGGACTGTATATATAACAATGATGTCATCTCACCTACATATTAATTAACACCTGAAACTATTTTAGCATCGAATCATCATTCATACATTTAGCTTATCATGTCGGCAGGAAAATATTAGTTTTATTTCTGGTTATTGGATGTATAGATTACATAGCCCAAAAAAAACTGAGAAAAAAGAATTGACCCAGTTAGGTATCTGCTAAAATGATTGTACATTTGTCAGGAAATTTAGGTTGGTTGCAATTACTTAGTAACAATTTATTCTGCTGTCACTGAAAATTTTTTTTTATCTCTGTAATTATTATTATCAATCATAAAATCATATTAAATGTCAGATAGGCATATTCTATAAAAAAAATCTTTTTTTTTGAGATTATGTTTTTTAGTGGACGAAAACACAAAATGAAATCCTGTGCCAAGAGCTTGTATGAAAACTTTAGTCAAGCCCCATAGGATTCGAATTTATGACTTGCTATCTGGGCTAAAGCCTTTTATATACAAATGCATTTTCAAGGAAGATGTCCTCAGTGACCAGTTACAAGAATATTTTTTTCCTGGCCTGAAAGTCATGTTGTCCTAGACCTCAATTAGACACATGTCTGGCTGTCCTACTTATACTTAGCTACCAGCCAAATATCTTTCATATAAACATTGTACATGTACATACCAGTACTCAAGAGGACATTACCTTTGAAAGTATTATAGCACTGGCTCCTATATTTAACCCAGTATCATGAATGTGATCTTTATTTAACATCAATTTCAGTAAATTAACTCTCGTTTACCAAAAACTCTTGACAATCGAAATTAGTCAAACATACTTAATTGTCATAATATTATTACAACAAAACACATAAACAGAAAAGAATTTGATGAATGAATTGATACTTTAAGTTTAAGTACAGATCTGCACTTAATATCATGTTAAACAGAGTACAAAACAACCTTCAAATAAGTTCAACAAACCAATTCCAAAAGTGATCAGACATCTAAATAGGTAGACTGTAGGTTTAACAGTATGGTACCATCATAACCTTGGAAACCACTATGACATGATATATTTACAAGACAATGGCAACACCAGGGTGTAGCATATCCCATTGGACATCCCACCAAGCCATAGACATGTAAATATCTATTATTTTGCATCAATGCCTATTCCCTTAGCGCATATAGCTATATGTGAAATTGAACCTTTGGAATTTGAATTATCGTCTAGACAGCCAGGTGAATGGAAAAATGGCAGCCATTTTGAATTTAGTGGCCATACTGAAAATTCCTTTTTGAGCAGAGGTCCTATCCTAATGAGGCATCATCCTAAAAAAATTGAATCCAATCCATCGACTGGCATTTAAGTTATCACCCGGAAAAACAAACAAATGGACAAATGGCTTCTCTATTATACTTTTTTCAGAATAACTGAGTTATGTTATAATAGAGTACTGTAATTAAAATCAGATCTACTTGATTTAGTATGACTGGAAGAGATAGATAAATAAATCAGAAGGAAGGTAGTTGTCCATTATTTTCCAAATACAATCACACCTATTTGCTAAAATAGGCCAAGGGAAAAGCAGTAGTATGTTTACTATTCTAATATAGAGTTCTTCTAACTACACAGATAACAGCAACGCCAACGCGTACCCTTTGCATTCGTTCGACTTCACTTCTTAAAAGAGAGTTCCGTCTTCACTCTTTCAAACTAAAATAAACCTGTGAACTCACCGCGCCAATCAGTGCTCGTCGGCCAGTTTTGACCGACGTTCTGTATATGGTCATTCCCTCTGACATCATCGTTAAGCCCGGAATTGACCAATGACAATTAAGAATTTATTTTGGCGCGTGTTTCTTCAAGCTCGCTGATTTGTGGAAGAAAGGTCAGCGCGTAGGCCAGAAGTGATTTATTACCCGAACTGTCACCAGCACCCGTCGTGGGGGCGGGGCTACTAAACTGTAATATGATTTCTACTAGGCAGAGTGTAGTTTAACTAGACTCTGCACGCAGGGTAGCCAACGCGTAGCAAATCCAATCAAACAGCCATGGCAGCCATTTTTTATATGAGTATTCACATATCAAATATGAGCAAAATTTGATTTTTAAAAGAGAGCCTCATCTTCACTCTTTTGGGACACCAGAACAACCTACAATTGCTTTTTATCGAGAGGTGCAATTAGGCAACACTCTCAATTATGAAATACATCATTACGATACAACTATTTCACTGAAAAATTTACAAAAAATGAATTTGTCAATATATTTTATGCTGATATTGTTAAAAAAGCCTCCAGAGTTATGCTTATTAGATGCAAAGTATCTTTGTGATAGTTTTGAATTAAATGACGAATTCAGTCAACCTTGAACACTTTGGAGTCACATTTTATTTTCAGTTGAGTAATGATACCTAAAACAAATACCAAGGCGTCTTACTCCATCGGCCATTGACTTGAGTTCAGGCTGACCTGAGAATCTCTTTGTAACAATATTGATCCCTTGATCCGACAGGCTAAAAAACTATATCACAAATTAGTGCAGAATTCACCAAAACCATTCATTGATACAGTATAAACTAAATAAACTATCTGATTTTTTAACAATATTTAACAACAGTTGAATAATATACACATGCAGTGATCAACAGTCAAAAGTTCAACTTATCTAGATTGTCTAGATTATAAAAATAGTTAATGTTGATATGCCTTAGCTGATTGGCACAGATATTTTTATCTAATCTTGTGCAGTTTTTTTTGTGATCATCAAATGTTTTTGTTTCTATGCTACATATTGATCTTTATTCAACCTTTGTAAAGAATTTGATAGTGTTTTTCTAAAAGATCTGTAAAAGATGGATTCCGATGTCAGCTTCTGACTGAACCACATTTGAAAACATTGAAATCAATCCATATCTTCATGCACTGGCCGTTCATTACATTCAGCGACCAATGAAAGCTGAGTGAACGGAGGGGCTCATGTACACGAATGACGATTTAGGTGCACATCAGCTTTATTGTACCCTCGTCTTTATGTCTAGTAACATGAAAGCACCCTGAACTTGATTCTTTTAGATGTTACACATATAGCTTTTTTATAACAGACAAAGGGTCTTAGATTTGTCTCAACTTGTACCTTGAGCATAAAGGGAGGCAATGTTAGATTATAATTATATTGTATGAAATAGACAATGAATAAAAACATAAAATCAGTGTTTATGTTCAGTTTACTGCATACTATCTATGTGCCTTGTTCACTGATTGGGAAAACAATCTCCTATACTAAGGACTGATTGCTATCTTTATAATAACGTCATTTCACAAATGATCATCAAAGATCACTGATTCCCAGTAATAAAAGTAAGCTAACGTCATGATCCTTATGGCCAAACCAATCAATTTTATCATAAAAGGGCTTTACATGATCAGTGAAACCATTTGACTTGAACTGAAGATCTGGAGCATTAAATCAAATTGATTCTTTGAATAAAAGCATAAATGGATACAAGGGCATAGCCAGTACAGGACCAAAAATAAGGTAAAGCACTCGTATTGCCTCATCTGCCTCATGCCTGGCTACACCTTTTCTTCTTTAGATATATGTCTGTAGAATATTGGTGAGGCAATTGCCTCATCTGCCTCATGCCTGGCTACACCTATTCTTCTTTAGATATATGTCTGTAGAATATTGGTGAGGCAATTGCCTCATCTGCCTCATGCCTGGCTACACCTATTCTTCTTGAGATATATGTCTGTAGAATATTGGTGAGGCAATTGCCTCATCTGCCTCATGCCTGGCTACACCTATTCTTCTTTAGATGTCTGTAAAATATTGGTGAGGCAATTGCCTCATCTGCCTCATGCCTGGCTACACATATTCTTCTTTAGATATATGTCTGTAGAATATTGGTGAGGCAATTGCTTCATCTGCCTCATGCCTGGCTACACCTATTCTTCTTTAGATATATGTCTGTAAAATTTTGGTGAGGCAATTGCCTCATCTGCCTCATGCCTGGCTACACCTATTCTTCTTTAGATATATGTCTGTAGAATTTTGGTGAGGCAATTGCCTCATCTGCCTCATGCTTGGCTACACCTATTCTTCTTTAGATATATGTCAGTAGAATTTTGGTGAGGCAATTGCCTCATCTGCCTCATGCCTGGCTACACCTATTCTTCTTTAGATATATGTCTGTAGAATTTTGGTGAGGCAATTGCCTCATCTGCCTCATGCCTGGCTACACCTATTCTTCTTTAGATATATGTCTTTAGAATTTTGGTGAGGCAATTGCCTCATCTGCCTCATGGTAAATTTATGTGACAATAACAACTAATATATCATGTAACAATCACATTGACATATATCAGTATAGCATCAAATAAAGTGATAGGTAAGAAAACTGCACAGAAGTCTACTGATCTAGTACCTCTCAATGTTATGTCAAATATGTAAGGCCTCACTTAAGTCCCATTATTCTTGAACTATTAATAATACTAATACTGTGAGTGAAACTGTAAGATAGAATACTCCACATCTTACTTAACCTAATTAATCAAATAATGTGATCTAATTATATTCATATGACATAGTCATTTATGATGGGTGCGTTGGGTGCGATTGCACCCCCCCCCCCATAACCGATGTAAATAAAACCACGAGAAAGAATGAAGGAAAATGAAGGACATTTTAACATTTTTCAAATGTTCACAGTACCCTCATTGAAAGCATACCAGTGCACTTATCGCATTTCACTACACAATTATCTGATAGTTAGCGTTATAATCAAGCAAAGGTCAGCCACCTATGTTACGTGCATACACGATTTAGGTCCTCCGATAATCTTGATAAACTCAAGGCTCTCACAAGGAAATATTTCAGTTTTGATTGAAATCTATTTTTGTAACTTACCATTGGTTCAGTTAAAGTGAATAATAATGATTCACATGA